TCTTTCTTTCCCCCTACTTATATATATATATATATGTATGTATGTATGGGCTCTCATCCCTATATATTTATACACATATGCACGTGGAAGGAAAAAGCGTATAGTTCCAGCGATAAAGAGGTGTACAATGGGTGTATGGGTTATACACGAGAAGGGGACAGCAAATGATCGACGCTATGTGGGACGAAAAGAGGGAGGGAGGGGAAAAGGCTAATTGATTTGCATTAGTTCGTAAACTAGTTTCGCGCTTCTTATCGGCGTTGCAACGCGCGTGTGGGTGGGCGGGAGAAGCGAGCGATATTCCCGGCTGTATACATATGTATATATACAGACACAAGTGTGCCTGCGCGAGCGCTTGATGTTTGCCAAAGTTCAACGGCGAGGGCTCGCAAAGATGCTTGCGCCGGTAAACTCGGGGGGGTGTATATATCGCATCATCGACTTTGATGATGGAGGTCGGAGGCGTAGAGGACGAGAATCTCTCCATGTAGCGAGGGGATGTATCTCGATGAGTGAGAAACAAATAAACAAAAATGATGTTGCCTTTGTGTTGCAGAACCAGAGCGTCCTTCCCCGATCCCGGCTGTCCCGCGGCCCAGCGCTTGCAACGGCGGTGGCTCAGCGGCCCAGCAGCGCCGCCAGCCCCGTCCCCTCGATTGCCACCGGCAAAGTCCAGCAGCTCCGACGTCGAGACTCGAGCGTCGACGATTACGAGGAGCCGCGAGGAGCAGTAGCTACAAAAGAGTCTCCCACGGCACTGCCACGGAACAGAGCTAGTAAGAGCCCCGAGAGCCCCGAGCTCCCTCGACACACGTACACACAGCCCGCCAAGCAGGCCAAAGGAGGAGGAGGAGGAGGAGGAGGAGGAGGAGAAAGGGGCCCATCGCGCGCGGAGCTAGAATAGCGTAGGGCCACAGAGGTAGAGGCTTCATAGGCCCCCCGCGCCTGAGCCGCCCCCTGGGGTCAGGGGGCCGGTGAAGGGGGGGGCTAGCTCAGGGTGGGTGCCGGCGTGCAGGCCGGGGCGCGCCTCGCCCGCCGGCTCGCTCGTAGATTAGCGCGCCACCTGGCAACCCTCGTCCGCTGGCAACGGCTCGCCAACAACACAAAGGACATCAGCTATTGCGGGCCTGGTCTCCTAGTCCTGGCTACTACCACCACCACTAATAATTATACAACCACCACCATCTCTGTCACTACGGCGAGTATCGGCAACGGCGGCGTGGCGGCACCAGCAGCAACAGGGCAGGCAGCGCCAGCGGGGGACGACCATCAGCACCTGCACCACCACCACCAGCCAACACCACGCCAACAACAGCCTGAAGTTGTGGTCGTCGTACCGAGCTCGCTCACGCAACAGCAGCTGCAGCAGCGCACTCAGCTCCAGTTGCCCCTTCAAAATCAGGCGTCGCCCCTCCTTCCGCAGCAGCAAAACAGCGACCACCACCACCACCACCACTACCAAGCTGTCGCCCCTGCCTCCACTGCCAACAACAACCACAACGCCGTTGCTGCCGCGAAACAACAAGCCCGCCAGTCCAGCCCGCCGCGGGACGGCGGCGCTGAAACTGGCACCAACTGGGGCCGCCACGGCTCCGGCCGGCACAGGGACCGGGCCTTCTCCATGAGGAGCCTCCACCGGCGAGTGTCTCATCCGTGAGTGTCTTTCATTCATTTTTTGCTTTTTTTTCTTCATCTCCTTTTTTTTCCCACCCCCCACCAACCCTTTTCCGTCCCTCGTGTCCCTCTCTGATGTGTGACTTTACAAGTGTATACAGCCGGCTGTCCCGTGTGAAAATAACATCAAGAAACAAGACAATCTCTCACGGAAGAAAAATTCCCCCCCCCCACCCACCCCTTCGTTACACCGGAAGGATATTTCCTTATAACTCCGACGACGGGCTTGATGACGCGATTTCTCCCTCGTCTAATGAGACAATCGGCTAAAGAGCGCTCGTAATTTCATCAAATCCTTATCCTTCGCGTCCTTCTATCGGGCCCTCCTCTGGGCGTTTTTATATTAAAAAGTTTTTCGCGGGTCTGCCGATCAAGAGGCCGTTGTCCCCTCTCTCCGATCCCCTGCTGCATGTGTGACCCTCTCTTAAAGGGGGCGGTGCTTCTTTCTTTTCCTATCGGCAACCCAGTATAGGTACATTGTATAGTTTTGGAGCTACGGTGAAAAATGAAAATACCACATGGCTTCACCGAGGAAAAGTTGTAGGGCTTTAACCGAGCCCCCTTTTTTTTCTTAGTCGATGCGGTACAACCCCTGGCTACTTAAGGGGCGTATAAGTAGTCGCGCAAACTTCGTTGCCAGCGTTCATCGCCGTTGATGCAAAAGCCCGCGAAGCGCGGCAATAAAGAGCTTTTGTAAGTGGACCCTCTGGATTAGACCGTCCCGACTTTTTACGATCGTCAAAGGAAAGCGCCATGCGCGTCGGAGCCCAGTGCAGTGTGTATACCTATGTTTGTCGCTCAGATTGGAATACGAGTGGCTTACTTTAACCTTTATTCTGCTCGTTTGCTTCTTTTTTTTGTTTCTCTTTTGGGCTGAGCAATTAAAACCCGAGCGAAACCGCGAGTTAAAAAAAAAAGTCCGTACAGCCAAAGCGTTTTTATGATTAAAAAAAATTGTTTCGCATCCTCTCCCCGCGCTTGAATAATTCAAGAGGCCGCCCAACTGTAAATGCGAAAATGACGAACATTTTTTACCCCCCTTTCTTTTTTTCTTCTTCTTCTTTTTTTTTTTTTTTTTTTTTTTTTTTACGAAAAATGTCTCTACAAGTTCTCCGGCCGAGGAAAGAAAAAGCTCCGATTTTTCTGGCCGGCCGAGCGCGATTGATCGCTCCCTCCTACCTCATACGTAACTCTTCTTTTACCGAGTCCTGTGAGAAACAGAGTCGGGGCCGCGCGTCCGTACATTCCGTAGCTCGGGAGGTGTCATACAGTCCTCCGCTGTACCTTGGTTGTGCTGCACGTGTGTGTTACGTACACCGTATATGTACAGATACCAGGGATATCTTTTATTTCATTGCCACCCCCCAACCCCCCGGACGATGGGGGATCTTTCCAGAGCACTCGTAACTTTTATACGTACCTTCGTATAACTTTGAGTGTGTGTGTGTACGTCGCATTGTACATTTCAATAAGATTCGATGGATGCACGCCAAAAATAAAAGAGGGTCCCTGTATCCTTCAAAGATCTCGTGGGCACAGAAAAAAAAAAATAAAATAAAAATTAAAAGGAAACCCCGTCCACACTTTGCAATTGGCGCGAAAGATTAAAAGCTAACACCCACACACTCGCACGGGGTTCAGAGAACACCCCTTCGTTCGTATGAATAAAAAAAAAAGCAAAAAAAAAAGCTTCAAAGCAAGAGTCGCCCGAGGCGTTTTTCAATACAAATCAACTCGAGACCCGTGTGCTCCCTTGCGCCGATAAGAAAACGATTTCCACCCCCACTACCCTTCGCGCCCAGACCGGCTTTCTCCCCGTATACATATACGGCTCTTTCACTATCGGTGAATGTACAAGTATACCGTCGAACAAAAGGGATGGAGGCCGTGGAGAGGGCGTCTCTTGGTTCTTTCTTTCCCCCCTTCTCTCCCGTGTATTCACCCCAGAGGCCTCGAATCGCGGTAATAGGCTGCAGTCGTTGGTCGGGAGACAGCTTTTTTACGCTAATTCTCCGTCTACCCGTGGACTTGTGTACGACGCGCACTTTGTTCATAACTACGGGGTGCTCCATGGGGCTGCAACTAACTCATCCATGGTTGAGCTGCAGTCAAAGGATCGCTTGCTGTTGGTCATTCACCGGAGCAAAAAAAAAAAAAAAAAAAAAAAAGTGACACCACAATGCACGGCGACACGTCATACGCGCAGGTATATTATCACCGTAACAAGCTGGGGACGGGTATTAATTATAAACCCGCGCGCGTGAATTGTACACGTAGGAGACGCAGCGGCGATAGCACGTGTCCTACGTGAGAGGGGAATCAGGGGGAGGGAACAAAGGGCTCTCTCTCTCTCTCCCACTCGCTGCGTGCTTTTTATACGTTAAAGGGAAATGCGAGAGGGCGGTGATAAATCTCCCGGCTCCGTCGTCGTTGTTTATCGCTCCGGTGCGTTTATAATCGCGCGTGTGCCGCACAGATGGTTTTTCTTTTGCTCGTTTCTCTCAGCTGTACTCGAGACTGTTTTTTTTTTTCCCCTCCTCCTTTGATCGGAAGCCGCTCATGGTTCCCTCTCGAGTGTCGGCTCCGGGGGCGGGTCCATTTTTCTTTTTTTTTTTTTAAATTATTCCTTTGTCGTTTTTGGACCGTTCGACGCGAAACATTGGAGCTCCCATTACAGCCAGAAAGCGAGATCCCGTGGTTTTAGGTTGCAGGCAAGTAGGCGTCGATTGGTACGCTGCGAGGACTTTCGCCGCGCTGCGAGAGCAACAAGAAAAAAAAAAAAAAAAAAATGGGGAGGGTTCTGCGCGCCGGAAATGGGATTGCTATTGTGTTCCGAGTTCCCGCGAGAGGAAAGGAGGCAGGTGGATGATTTTCTTTTTTTTTCTCCCTCGCCGTTGGCACACGTGCAATTTGCGCTCGTGCATGGATCGACGGGCTCGCGATTCAACGAGAGTACTCGCTCGCGTGCCTTGACTACACGGAGTGGTTTTTTTTTTTTTTTTTTTTTCCTCAAGCACACGGGGGTTGTTGTCCCCTTGTCTAATAGGTGGACCTTGTCTTCGCTCGGACACCAGAGACCGAGGATTAAAAACTCGGTCACAGCATCCCGTGGCACATCACCTTGACGAGAGCCCGGGTACTCTGGTCGACAAAACACGTGGATCGGCGACACACACGCGCAAACCTAAGGACAGAAATCTCGAGCTTGCCCTTGCGCGGCTCTCTCTCTCTCTCGCTGCAACGGGCCGTTCGCGAAATCAGGTCAATGGAAGAGTTCGGCCTCCTCCTAGCTGGCGGCGTTGGCTCTCCTCCTCCTCGTGCTCTTTTCGATCACGCCGCAAAAGTTTTCAGGTCGATTATTTCGTAGCTTCGGGCGATATCCACCCCCCTCCGACCCTTCGTGCTTCTGCCTTCGGATCCCTAACTGCGTTTCGCTCTACCTTTCCTCCCCCCCCCCCTCTTCGCAGCTTTTCGGTCTTTGGTACGAACGATTCTGGGAAAGAAAACGCGCGCGACAATAAGGGAACAATGGCTTAAAGGGCCCCCTCTCGGTCAATCGAACACGTCACCCTTAAACTGCGATTGTTTGCTTTTTGTTTCCACAGCGTGCCCTGGGGAGCTTTTTCCTTCCTTTGCTGTTGGAATGTGCGCGCGTAAACGCTCGTCACGGTCAAACGCCGTCGGAGCTACGTCGAAAGTTTGTTTTGCCTTGACGAAGGCTATACTTTGGAAAAGCGCGGCAGACGTTGCGTAAGAGGGTACTTGGCTTTGATCTTTTTTGTTTTCCTCATTGAAATCGTCCGGCATCTGAGGGGGTGTGGAAAAACAATTTTTTTTTTTTTTTTCCATACACATTTAGCGAAAGGATCACCATTTATTGTCCGGCAGCTCAAGTAGCTCAAGCAGGTAGCCAACGTGAGATAGACCGTCATGTAGTATGCATCAACCGGAACATCACGTGCTCTAAATTTCTTATTCAGCGTCCGTCTTTTCTGGTCTTACGTAACGCTGACTTGTACTACTTGAAGCTGTTTATCACGTGCTATACCCTACTCGAGTGGGTGTGTATATATTTATACACTCGGGTGGCTTTTTTTTTTTTTTTTTTTTTTTTTTTTCATGCTATACGTGTCGAGCCAGCTACCAACACTCTCGTGTTCTTGTTTGGATTGCAGGATACTCTGTAATGTGATATTAATAAACGAGAGCAAAAAATAAAAAAATAAAAAAATAAACTTGTCACCAACAGCGGAGAAGATGCACTTTTTTCCAACTTTACACAAAATAAACAGCAGAGAAGCAAAACGCAGTCGAGGACGCTTGTAAAACTTTTGTCCGAGCAAGAGAGAGAGAGAGAGAGTGAGATGACATCAGGAGCGAAGGCCGTGCAGCGCGCCAGAGGGCCTCGCGGCTCCCTAATGGCTATCCAATTTTCGGAAAAAATTTTTCTCCGCAGCAGTTTTGCTTGTTAGTCCGCACACACTCGGATGTTTCCTTCTCCGAGTCCTAATGCGCGCTCTTTGAGTGAAAAATCAATACGCCCTCTCGTCGCTCACTCGCACTCGGATGGCTTTCCAGATGCGCGAATAAACCAAAAGTGGCCATTGTATGTATTTTTGACTCGAGATACCCCGTCCTTTGCTCATGGGATGCCCCAATGTCAAACTTACTTCGTCCCCCGGAAGAAGGTCGGAACTTTGCGTTAAAAAAAAAAAAAAAAAAAAAAAAAAAATGTAATGCAACGGCACAACTACTTATTTCTATAGAAACGAAATTACCTGCGTCAGCTGTATATGGAGCCTAAAATCCACCCACACCAGCGCCGATCCGATCGCTCCGATAAGTCACGCGTACCATATATACATATGTATGAATACACAAAGCATCGGTTCACCGAAGACGTTTCTCGGGCCGATTTCTTCTCGCGGCTAGCAACCGTTAACCCAGACCGTCAGAGCTGAATACCTGCGGACGTAGTCAGAG